GATATCTTTTGTAGCGCCCTTGCGCGCACGTACTTCTCCCTCTGTTCTATTGGCCTGAACGCTTGCATGACCGGATCGATGTGTGGAGTGAGGCTACGTCCCCCACGCCGCGGCCTGGCCATGCAGTCGTAGGCACTTCCTTCCTTCTCCTTCCTTCCCACTCACGCACAACCCCGAGTATCGCGCACACGTATGCATGCTATAAATTTCACAAACGCGATTAACTCGCTCTCTAAGAATTGTGGAGTTAGTGTGGTCGAGAGGATCGGCTAACGAGCAAGAATTGGTAGGTGAGTTGGGAGTTGGGCGATCCGACGAGCTGGTGCTGGGATATGCGTCCTAACCTTTGAAGACCTCCCTACTACCCAGAAAATCCCCTCACCCTCATTAAACAATTAATCGAGACGGAAATCCACACCCACTGGAAAAAAACACTGACCCAGATCCAAAACACCCTAGATAATAAGACTGTGATTATTAAAAAATTTAAAGCATCAAAACTTGGAGGAGGAAAACTAGGATCGATAACGGGAAATAGATTAAACTTGAAAGATTGGTTTACCCCAACCCAACACAACAACCAGGGGCCAGAGAATCCCTGACAACCACCCTGATACCAAACTGAAGACCATTATAATAATAGGCTAGTAGACAGTCTAGATACAAACATCTAACTAGTCCTTGGAGCAACAACCAATAACTAAATTTAGAGACAGCAAACTGACCCTATGTAAAACAGCGACCACTAACAATTACCAAATTACTCCCAGTTTCAAATGCTGAACAGTGACGCACCTAACGCCTCATCTCCCCAGCTACATCCCCCACCCCCGTCTCACCATCGCCCCAAGCCCCCCCAAGGCACATCCTTGAACCACGGGATAACAGGGAACAGACCGGGAGCATCCTAGGGTTTAGGGTTTTAGCCAGCCAGCAGTCTCAATAAACCTTCCACTTTCAGATCATAGCACATTGAAGGTCTTCGGTGTTTATGGCATCCTTCGGCCCTTCCCTTCACAAGTGAAAAGAGCACAAGTGAGGCTCCTAAGTAAAGTTTTGGATTACCTAGTGAAATAGTAGTCTGTCCGACGGACTAAGCCTCCAAGCGTGCAGATATCCAGGGGGCCAAGCCGAAGAGGTTGTACAAGATCAGAAAAAAGATCCAAGCAACAGAAGGCAGTAAGTATAGAAAAGCTAACAATCTAGAAGCAAAGAGAGACAGATCCATTGTGCTCCAGGGAGGCAAGGGACAATCCAGACCGTCAGGATTAAAAGCAGAACCTCAGTTGAATAGGATAACTTAGGCTGGGTTGAAGGGAGGTACATCCTTCCTTTGGGAAGTAATCAATGTTGTCCTTCGGACCTCCACACCATAAGGGGGAGGAGCGTGAGGGTGTAATCTTTGTGATCCCTTCAGACTTGCCGGTGGAATAGGAACCGGACTGATGCTCCCCAGAATGGAAAAGGAGCCGGAGCTCTAAGTGCAAGGAACATGAATATGGACGAAGCACAGAAATCCAGATTGCAAAATCACACTGAAGTCCAAGTAGTCAAAGCAAGAGCAGATAGCACAATGGAACCGAGTAACCATCCATTTGAGAATGATACAGAAGAATCGTGAGTCAATGTCCAAGCCCAACAGGGCAACACCAACAGCATAACCCAATGTAGCTCTCTCTCTTGAATGGCGCCAGGCGCCCTATCTACTCTACAGCCTAAGCCTACAACTACAGCATGAAAGCAACCAGACAACTTGACGACCAGCGAGTGATGATGTCACCAGGTATGTCTCCCTCGTCACCCACACTCTCCCTTGTTATCCCACAGAGCGCCCTTCACCTCCGAAGAACCACCTTCGCCCTCACCTCCCCTGCGCCCTCAGGCAGCCCGGCTATGGCCGCCAGCGCCCTGTGTACAGGCAGCGCCCTACCGCCTAGCGCCTGCCTGTCTAGCACCTCAGCCTAGCGCAGCGCAGCAGCTCGCATTAGCGCAGCGTGCCGACATTGCCCGCAATGGCCAAGATCCCCTGCCCACTCGCCCTGCTTGCCTATATGCCAGTGTTGCGTGTGGGCGGCCTCCCTTCAGCCTGTGCCTGGGCCCCAGTGCCTGTACCCAGGCCCGATGCAGTTGGGGGCCCAGGAGATGCAGTTGCGCCTCTTTCATCAAGGCCTGCGGCCAGATTCAGATAGTGGACCGGTTTCCCATTGGCATTTTCGGCCTCTATATCCAGCGTGCATTGTCGGCCTCACGTTTATGTGCCCAGGGCCTAACCAACTCGGGGCCCTGGGATTTCTGCATTTGAAGATCTCCGATACTCGGTGCACACCAACCAACTGGCGTGATGCAACTGTATGGACCCCACTTCGTGAAATGTTTGCACAGAGGGCTCTTGTTGATTTGCTGGCCCGCCTTCACTTAGGGCGGGCACGAGGCTTGCTGGGGCCTTAGCCCAGAACATGTACATCATGGCAAGGCCCCTTCTTGAGGGCTCAATCCTCACATATGGTTCTGCTTTGAAAAAAAAAAAAAAAAAAAAAAGGTTTGAAACGTGGTCGTCTTATACGGTTTGTAGGTTTGACGCTTGGTCTAAAATGGGAAAGCTTTACCATATAGGTTTGACCCTTGGTCTATGATGTGGAAGCAATATGTCGTAGGTTTGACACCTGGTCTAGGTTTGGCACTTAGTAAAAAATGAAAAATGAAACAGTATTCACCGGGTTGCAGTAGCCGATGCAGATCCCAGGGCTTGATCCCTAGATCCCCACCTTACCCGCGTACAGTATCTGTGTCAACCCGTAGAATTGAACCTGCGACCTGTAGGACCGCCAGTGGTAGGTAGGATTTCGTAGGTCACAGGGTAGAAGGGATTCGAACTGTAGACCTGTCGGGTAGGAGTCTAGACAGTCCAGAGGTCGTRGCTGTAGACTGTCTGAAGGGTCAAGGTCGTAGCTGCTACTTACCTGAAAGGGCAAAGTCGTAGCTGCTACAGTACCGAAAGGCCAAGACAAAGGTTTCTAGAAGTGGCCTTTTGGAGTCAGCCTACGTTAGACAGAGGCAAGTGGTCAAGTGGAGGCAGTCCACCTCGTACAGTCAGCCGTCCCAGTCCACCCAGTCCGGTCCAGTCAAGCAAGTACCGTCTGGGACTGTGTGCCCCACGGGCCAGGAGTTACAAGGCAGACCAACGCCTCACAGAAGTATAAATCAAGAGGCTGCGCCCAGCCATTCATTCATTCCTGCGGAAGCCATGCGGAAGCGCTGCCACAGCAGCTTGTGCGAGGAGGTCTGCAGTAGGCCCGAAGACGAAGTGGGCGAGAGTGAAGCAGTGTAGCCATAGCGA